CATTGAAATTTATATGGCAAGGGAAAAAACCCAGGATTAAATTAAAATTGTTGCAGGATGCTAAAGGAAGAGGGGGGTTTGGCTTGCCCGATTGGGAAATTTATCATCAAGCTGCTATGCTTACTTGGGTGAAGGACTGGATAACTCTCAACAATAGAAAGATGTTAGCACTAGAAGGCCACAATTTACAGGCAGAATGGCATGCCTTTTTATGGCAAGGTAGACAAGAGGCCAACCAATATTTTCAAAGGCTTATGCCCTGATCAGGCAGACATCGACATGGAATAAAACAAAACAACAAATATATATAGGAGCACCAATATTGTTATCTACTCTTGAAGCTTTAGTATATCCAAACCTGCTTGGCCGAGGGAAAATTATTACATACAAAAACATTTTAAATGAGGCAGGACATTTGAAATCAAGGCAGGAATTAAAAGAACAAGGGGTGGACCTGGAATGGTGGGCTTACTTGGAAGTTCAATCACAATACAGAAAGTTATGAAAGAAAGGGGAATTAGCAGACAGAAAACAAAATTAGATGAAATATTACTGGGAGCCGATGACAAGTTGATAAGGAAAATGTATAGACTTTTATTGAATTATAAATTAGACAAGGAACAAGTAAAAAACGATGTTGGCTTGGGCGAAAAATATTGCATATGGTATCAATTTGGACAAGTAGCAAACCCTATGGGAGAGAAATAAAAAAATAACATTAGCTACATCATATAAAGAAAATTTATACAAAATATTTTATAGGTGGCATCTCCCACCAACAAAATTAGCTAAGATGAATCAAAATGTTTCACCTGTTTGTTGGAAATGCATCCAGGAATATGGATCATATTACTACACATGGTGGTCATGTAAGAAAGCCCAGGAATTTTGGCGTAAAATGGTTAGAAGAGATCGGTGAGCTTAAAGTCAAGTATAAACCAGAATTTTTCCTGCTGGGAATCATTACAGAGAGATCCAATAAGGAACTGACATATCTAATAATACATGTGATTACGGCAGCAAGCTTAGCTTATGCTCAAAAGTGGAAAGATAAAGAAATTCCCGATGAAAGCAAAGTAATTAAAAAGATATGGATATGCACTGAAATGGACAAATTAACTTTAGAAATAAAAAATAAGGATGAGACTGAATATTACAAAGTATGGGATAAATTCTACCAATGGGGGGAAAGGAAATTCTCAGAAATAAAATAAGACAAGGTTGGATAGAAGACTAGAAATATGGAAATTTGTTGAAATGTGCAAATGTATATGTTATGTAAATATGTATTATATGTTACATATGATAGATATTCATGACAAACAGGCTTGTCAGGACAATCATACTACCTTCATTCCTTTTAATGTTTTATTCAATAAAAATTTATAATAAAAAAACCATTTGTTTAGAACAGTCACTAAACAAATGTTTGTAAGTTGAGGAATACAGGTAAACTTATAAAACTTTGTAGATACAATATTTAAGAATTAACTTGACATTTGTGGTGATCTTTACATAATTGGCTTTTTAATTTATTTTTAAAATAGCACATGAAGGCAGATAGAATTAAAGTATCTTATCTTTTAAAATGGCATTGCTATTCTGATTAGAAGTATTTTTACCTAAAGGCTTATAATATTGGCAGTCTCAGTACTTGCATTCTCATTAGCTCAATCAAGCCCTCTAGAAATAAACTGAACCTATTAATCAGAGGCCAACTAATTTATCAATGTGTACACCAGATGGCAGTCTAGGAAGGCTTGGGCATTCAGCATGAACCCAGAAAGATATTTGTAATCTTTTGCCATGGTTCCAGATTAATTCTATGAAAACAGACCTACCCGACAAATCCCACTTTCTTCAGGCATTAATGTTGAATTTGTTACAGTAGCACACAAACCCCAACACTTGTGGTAACTGCTCAATCTTATTTTCAGTTGCCCTTTCAAAGAATGCATGAATAATGTTATCCTTTTAACTGCAATAAATGTCACCAAAGCAGGACCTCTGTACTGATTCTTGTTTACCACAGGAATGTACCCAAGCATCTAAAATGGGCTATCTGTACCAATTAGGAGGCTGTGATTAATCAGTTCAGCACTAAAAACTTGGCAAAAATGGTAAGTATAACAATGATAGGACAAGAGAAATGGCTTGCAGGAAGTATTGATCAGAATCCCTGCAATAACCTCTCTTGATCATTTTAGAGGGAAATTTTAGCTATCCTGGTTGCAGAGATAACATTCTGAAGGTTAAGCAAAGAAAATGCAGAAATGTGTGTTTAAATGTGCAACAGCCCAAAAGAAATGTTCTGATTTTCTGAATAAGTTCAGCTTTCAAAGATTGGTTTTGGTGGTATTATAATGTAACAGTAATTTAAATAAATACTTATAGGATTGCACTGCATGAAAACAAAGCATATCAAATATCAAAATAGAAAGCAGTGCAATTACATACAATTATATAAACAAAAAGCATTTAACATAATCGATCATAAATTTTCCCTCAAACTAAATAAACATGGTCCAAGACTCAGTACAAAAAAGTGGGTGAAGAGATGGTGAATATTAAAGAGGAGAACACTGGAGATCAAACACTTGCCCTGTGACAATCTGTAGGTCACAGTATAATCAGCAGAATTCCCCTAATGCACAGATATGTATCAATGAAGGCAATCTAGAAGTACAAGTAGTCCTCAACTTACAACCACAATTGAGTCCAAAATTTCCATTGCTAAGACAGTTTTCAAATGAATTTTGACCCATTTTACGATGTTTCTTGCCACAGTTCTTAAATGAATCACTTGTTAAGTTGTTCTTAATCAGTAACATGGTTGTTAAGTGGATATGGCTTCCCCATTAACTTTGCTTGTCTGAGATTTGAGATCTGTTGACATTAACACCCAGATTTCTCAGCAATTGTCAGGTGATTAAAGTCTGTCCAACTTTTTCTGAGGCAAAAATCATTTTATGGCTGAGAACAAGTAGGGGCTTATCCCAATCCTCTTTTAGTATCTTTTTTTTCAAAGTGCTGTATAATTTGCTATGTAAATAGAACAGTGGTAGTTTTGGAGGACATTGGGACACTGAAAGCTGATTTACAAAGATGACATAATATGTTGCAAAAATTCATAAAAAGGGTAATGTATAGGAAATGACCAGGCTGAAACTGAGGGAGACATCAAACACATCAGTCATGATGTCCCTTCATGCCCACAAAAGATCTAAGTCCAGCCCATCATGAATATCTTTGATTCTTATCTACCACCAATTTGCTTTGACCATTGGTAGTTCAGATTCTTGTAGAGAACTTAAGCTTGCAATAAATATTTATACTCATTTGAACTACCTGGATTTCTTAATTATCCCAGCATTTGACGTTATGTACATATGGTAGGTAAAGAAGTCCCTTGTCTAGTTTTTCACTCCACCAGACATAACCAACTATAAGGGATGGGGCTCAGCTCCATTTCAAAGCCATTGAGCCAGCGCTGTACATGTGGTACATATGTGTATATCTTCCATTGTTAAAATAACTGTATATTGGGTATCCTTAATAGACAAAATTTTATAGAGAAGTAAAACTCTAATTTTTGCTATGATGTTAAATCAGTCATTTAGACTGGACTCCCATAACCACCTGTCAACCACCTTGTTGGTAAATGCAGCAAAAGAAACATTATTTTACCAAGAGTATAACTTTACTGATAATTCCACATAGGCACAGAGGTAGCAAAGCCAGTTCTAAAGTTTTCATTGTCCACCAATCAATTGTATTCATTTTATTTAGGAAACATTTGGAACAACTCTTGAATTTCCCCATTTTGGGGGGTGTTAGGACCATTCTGACTCCCGGTCTGCATTGGCTCACTTGAATTCCTCAACTCCCTCCCAAGCCCTCCTTTGCATTCCAATCCTTTCCCTCCACCCTCCCTTTTTTCTGGTTGAGAGCAGGGGTATGTGGCGAGTCAGCCATGACACTACTAATCCCACTGAATTTACCTAGAAAAATCAATTGGATTTAGTATTGATTAGTTACTTATAGAATCAAAATAATATACATATAATAGTCTAGTGAAACAGATACCTAAAGTGTTTTATATCTTAAAAGTTTAAATATAGTGATCAATATACAGTATATTTCTTCCATAGCTTTATTCATGGCAAAAAGTATAATAATATTTCAGTTCATTCATGTCTATCAATTATTGTCTAGGCCAGGCAGCCTCTTGGTTCCATGCATATAGAATTTTGCACAGAATTATGAATTCTATGAATAATCAATCTAACTTACCTTTCTGACTTAGAAATAACTCTTGCCTTTGTGTTTCACACAGCATTGTGACTGATGCAGAATGTAGCACCTTGATCCATTTTTGAAAATAAATATTGAGATATCATAGTTATCCAAATCATATGAAGGTGTATCCATTTTCAAACATTAATCCCAAAATATGCTCTTTTTAAAAACAAGCATTTTCATTGTGTGAAAACACCCATCTGTACATTTTGACAGCATCCACAAAGCTTTTTCTGAGCATATCATATGTATTAAGGAAAACAAATGAGAAAAAATTATTTGTGCCATGGCTTAAATTAATCTTCATTGCATCCTACATAACATAGACTTCATGTTTAAGTTTTTTGTTTAACTGCAGTATCAATAATATATTACTGAAGTTTCTTTACCTTTGGTTACTCTTAAATCATCACAAAGTAAAGCCATGGCATGAAAAATGCATAATTTAATTTAATTGGATAATTTGTTAGCATAATTTTTCTTGGCTAAAAATTTCCTTGCACAATTACCAGCAATAATTATTGTAGTTCCATTTTTAAAAACAACTTTCATGTCAGTGTATATGAACATTTGCTTATACCAGACAATTTCTTCCTAAATTACCCAGGTCATGCAATGCACAATTAGCTATATCCTCATTTGGAGGAGTCACCTGACTTTCTAATTGTATAACATTACAGTTGCTCTTTTCTTCATTCCAGGGCACGGATTATATGGAACTTTTGAAATGTTATCCTCTTGGAGGAAAACTAGAGAAGACCAACATGTAAAAGAGAGAACTGCAGCTGTGTTCGCAGACTCCATGCTCTCCTTTTCTCTCACCACTGCCATGTATCTGGTGACTTTTGGAATTGGTGCAAGCCCTTTCACCAACATTGAAGCAGCCAGGATCTTCTGCTGCAATTCTTGTATTGCAATTTTCTTCAACTACCTCTATATACTCTCCTTTTATGGTTCCAGCCTTGTGTTTACTGGCTACATAGAAAACAACTACCAGCATAGTATCTTCTGCCGAAAGGTACCAAAACCAGAGGCATTGCAAGAGAAGCCTGCTTGGTATAGGTTTCTTCTGACAGCCAAATTTAGTGAGGATACAGCAGAACCAGAGGAAACAAACAGTTACGAAAGCCACCTTTTGGTGTATTTCCTCAAGCGTTATTACTGTGACTGGATAACAAACACGTATGTCAAGCCTTTTGTAGTTCTCTTTTACCTTATTTATATTTCCTTTGCCTTAATGGGCTACTTGCAGGTCAGCGAAGAATCAGATCTCAGTAACATTGTAGCAACTGCGACACAAACCATGGAGTACACTGCTGCTCAGCAGAAGTACTTCAGCAATTACAGCCCTGTCATTGGGTTTTATATTTATGAATCAATAGAATATTGGAACGTGACCGTTCAAGATGACATGCTAGAGTATACTAAGGGGTTTGTACGGATATCTTGGTTTGAGAGCTATTTGAATTATCTGAGAAAACTCAACATATCTACTGGATTATCTAAAAAGAATTTTACCAATATGCTGAGGAACTCCTTTCTGAAAGCTCCCCAATTTGCCCATTTTTCAGAGGATATCATTTTTTCCAAAAAATACAATAATGAAGTTGAAGTGGTGGCCTCTCGAATGTTCTTGGTAGCTAAGACCATGGATACCAAACGAAAAGAGCTCTATCACCTCCTGGAAACCTTACGAAAGCTCTCTCTCAAATCTAAAGTGAAGTTCATTGTTTTCAACCCATCCTTTGTCTACATGGATCGTTATGCCTCCTATGTGGGTGGCCCTTTGCAGAACTCCTGTATTAGTGCTTTATTCCTGCTCTTCTTCTCTGCATTCCTAGTGGCAGATTCTCTCATCAATGTATGGCTCACACTCACCGTTGCCTCAGTCGAATTTGGAGTTATAGGTTTTATGACTCTGTGGAAAGTTGAGCTGGACTGTATTTCTGTGTTGTGTTTAATTTATGGAATTAATTATACAGTTGACAACTGTGCACCTCTCTTGTCAACATTTGTCCTGGGCAAAGATTTCACAAGAACTAAATGGGTAAAGAATGCCCTGGAAGTGCACGGGGTAGCGATTTTACAGAGCTACCTCTGCTACATTGTTGGTCTGATTCCTCTCGCAACTGTGCCTTCAAATCTGACCCGTACACTGTTCAGGTGCTTGTTTTTGATAGCATTAGTCACCTTCTTTCATTGCTTTGCCATTTTACCTGTGATACTAACTTTTCTGCCACCATCAAAGAAAAAAAGGAAAGAGAAGAAAACTCCTGAGAATCGGGAGGAAATAGAATGTGTTGAAATGGTGGATATGGATAGTACCCGTGTGGTTGACCAAATTACAACAGTCTGACTAGTTGGTTTGTCTTGGTTTTTTTTTAAAAAAAATAACCACCGCCCCTAAATATTGACAAGAGAAAAAATCATATTGATTATAACAATGGGATTTGGATGTCTGTTTTCAAATTAAAACCAGGAGCATCCAGAGCACCATGTGAAGGGGGAAATGTGACTGTTTGTGGGTTGGCCTTCACATATAAAGTATAGTGACATTTACATTCACCCAATACAATGAGAGTGTCAACTTGGGTTGCTACCTGAGATAAAGACAATATAGATGGGTTACTAAATAGTATACTGCCGTGTCTGCCCTGCCAATGCTGCTGCCCCTGGGGCAGTGTGTGCCCACACATTGAAAGGTCAACTGTCAAGGCTGAAGAAGCAGTAAGTGTACATTTTGGACACAGAGGCTATATAAAACTTTCAGTACAGCAATAACTCAGTTCCATGAGTCAGCTATTATGGATCTTAGCCATTACATCTAACTTTTATTTCTATTGCTTCTTTTTTTTTTCTTTTTCTGAATAGAAACATATATGCAAGCTGTTAAACAAAGCAAACCAACAATGGCCAAGAAATTCAAATTAACATAAGGCTAAATAGAGCTATCACTGTTAATCTAGGGTCATTTCGCAGTTGCCTTCTTTTCTGAATTAATAAATATTTTAAAGTGGAATTAATCCCCTATATATATTTAATATCACATAATTTTCTAGCATTTTTAAAGAAAAAAACAAAATTAATAATACATAAAAACACATTCAAGTTATCTGTTACAGCATCACTTTTTCAGTAGGGTTTATTGTTATTCAATAGAGTTGTTTTTTATTATTATTATTATTATAGGAAACCCTATGCTAGATTTGATAGCATTCTCTGATATGTTAGGAGATCTAATGGCAAGTTGGGAAAGGAATATGTTTAGCAAATCCTACCAAAATCCATGAAACAAGCCTCAGATGCCTAAATTTTGTCTCACAAATGTGTATGTTGTAGAATGTCTTAAACTATCAGCCATTGTTCCAAGCTGTACACTATTAGTACACAAAAAGAGGCTCAATACATACATACATACATACTATGTAACATAAGTCACAATTTTCAACTAGAATTTCTGTCTCTGAAGTCTCTACTATAAACTATAAATCAAAGAAATCAGTTGAACTCTCCAGAAAAGTGGTTTTGAATTCTTAATGCTGCAGTCTTTCATGAGGTAATGTTTAAAGGAACTGTTCTAATATAATAAAACATAGTAAATAGTTATCCCTGCCCTCTTGAAATATATAAGATGTGGTGCCAGAAGAGAAAAAGGAATCAAACAATTTACAGTTCTGCAATGAACTAGGCCAGAGGAATCCACAAAACACATTCACATCATCTTTGGTGTATCTACTTGGTATATCCCTGATATTTGCTAAAAATAATGTTGCCCTCTATGATACAGAAAAATATCAAATTTGCTTATCATACTGACAACTCACAAATTCTGGAAAATTGCAGTTGACACTACCTACTTGTAGCTTTAGTGCTGGGCATGCTATTGGAGTCATAGTAGGTAAAATCTGTACTGAGCAGATGGAACAGAACAGACTATTTCTATTTCTCAAAGTTCCTTCTTAAGTAACATAACCCTGGTGATACTAGTCAGTTCTCTAGATCTGGTACCTTTGGCCTCCCAGAGTTCTCCTTTCTCTTATTATTTGCCCTGAACAAACTGGCAAAGTTGAATTAGAATTGTGCAGCAGTAATCACCAAATTACATGATTTTTAACTTTATATTGTCCTTTTATGCCAAATCCTCCATACCATTGCAGATAATAAGATTGGCATGTTGATGTAGCAGATGAGGACCTAAACTGGTCAGTCCCTAGAGATTACTTTCCAGTAGTATTGTCATTGCTGCTGCATGGCAGGGTGAGTTCCCAGCATTCACTCAAGCTCCTTGATGGGAACATAAACAGAGCCAAGGGCATCCCCTGGGCAACTGTGGCTAATTCTTTCAACCTGGAAGTGCCTTCAAAGGTGCCTCGGATACCAATGGGATGGGGGCAGTAGAAGAAAAAAACTGGAGTGAGCTTTTGTGCTCCACTACTATAAGTACTCTATTCAAATAACTTACAAAAGGTATATCAAGAACATGACAAGCTTGTAATTCAAACATATTTGAACTTTTCTATATCACAGACTTTTCCAGCAAGTGATTGGACAAATAGCGAGGATACATACACCGAATCATTTGCCGGAAAAAAATAGTGCACAGTGAATTTGTTTTGTTCATTTTCAGATAGATATTCTAGCATTGTTATAATAAACAGCTTCTTCTATTGTTATTAGCCTCTGAAATATCTGCTATGTAGTAAGTTAAAATGTTTTGTTTCATTATCAAATAATTTTCTTCAAAAGGGGACAATTTTATTCCTGCCAAACCCTTTTTCTTTCCAATATGAAAAACACCACAGCATTCTTCCTCTCCCAGCATTCAGGTTGGCAAGCTGCTACATGCATAAAATATCTGTAAAATATGCAGTAGCTACTGCCATATAAATTGTTTTGGGAAAATTCTTGAAATTCACAATTGCCAAAACTAAATGTGCTTTTGAGTGTACAAACTAGCTGAAGGAATTTAGTTCTTTGCTCCCAATTGTTAAATGAAGGCCCAATGATATCCATGACTTTGTCTTCTTTTATAAAAAATTTAAATTAATGCATAACAGCTTCATGTATAATCAGGGGTGGGATTCTACCAGTTCGCACTTATTCACTAGAACCTGTTAACATTCTAAAGCAGTTCAGAGAAACGGTTGTTAGAAGAAATTACTGGCCTAATCCTGTAAGGAAGGCAGGAAGGAAACATTCTGGTGTTGCTTACAGAAACTGCCTCTCCGTTAACCCTTATTACATTTTTGGCAGGACTAACTTCCTGTCTCAGGAACTTCTCTGGAGATTTTTTTTCCCCTCCTTTGCTGGTACTTTGCTTTTGTGGAGTGACCATTCAAAGTTACAATGGCACTGAAAAAAGTGACTTATGACCATTTTTCACGCTTACGACTGTTGCAGCATCTCCACAGTCATGAGAGGCCAGGCGAGGAGATGCATGCCTCAATGTGAGTGAAATTGAGTTGGCCACGCCCAGCCAATAGCATGACCACCAAGCCACGTCCACCCAGTCACATGACCACCAAACCACACCCACTGACTAAGCCATGCCCACAGAACCAGTTGTTAACAAATTTGAATCCCACCCCTGTGTATAATGTTTTTTTTTCTTATCTTACCACATATCAGGCTCTGGTAAAATTTTACTATATGCCCACAAATTTGTAAGCTTATATGAATTATTTTTTTTAAAAAATGTCCAGTTATATTTTTCAGACATGTTCTTGGTTATATATTATTCCTAAACTGGATGATAAAAGTACTTTAAATTTGACTGTCATATGTATAAAAATGCATAATTGAACTCCTTATTGAATGAGACTCTTATAACGCTGCTGTAGTATGTCCAAAGAGTTTAGGTGAACACAGGATAAAAAGGTAATATGACTTACAACCATTCATTTAGTGTCCATTCCAAGTTACAACGGAACTTTAAAAAGTGACTTATGACTGGTTTTCACATAAGCATTGCAGCATTTCCCATGGACACATAATCAACATTCGAGCATTTGCCAATTATGACTGTTGCACTATCCTGGGGTCATGTGATTACTTGTAACCTTCCCAGGCGGCTTCCAGCAAGCAAAGACAATGTGGGAACTTAGATTCTCTTAATGACCATATGATTCACTTAAAAATTGCAGTGATTTGCTTAACAACAGTGACAATAAAGGTCATAAAATGAGGTGCAACTCAAATTAACAACTGCCTTGCTTAGCAATGGAAATTTTGGGTGTGTTTGTAAGTCAAGGACTATATACATGTGGAATATTACATTTTTCATTACACTCACTGAAGCCAAAGTCAAGGTATTTACAGTACTTTTATCTTTAATTCATTTATCTAAATAACTCACTGATCAGAACAATATGTTTTTACTCTGGAAGAGAAAAAAGAAACCTATTTTTCTCTGTCCAGCGAGTTAATTCATACAAGTCTGTCTTGGATATTCCTTAGAATGAAATGGAGGAAAAATAACTGAAGTAACTAGAACAATTTCGCTATAAATGAGCCATATCTACAATACATGCCCAGCATTTTTTAAGCAGTAGAAATTAGAAAAACACCAAAGCTAGAAGAAAAGCTCTCTGGCAAAAACAAATGGATGTTTTTTCCCCCAAATCCCAACTATTTTACTAAATGAAATAAGACCTATAAAAGGTTAACTATATTGCAAAGAGGCTAATGTTACAGTGAAATGTGCCAAATACTATTTGTATCCTGGGAAGCTCCACAAGGCAAAACTATTTTTAGTGCCACTGGATTATTCTTCTGCAAGGTCTATATTTATTCACTTGCTAAGGATGACTCCATGCTCCAGTCAATCAAGTAATGGTACATCAGAAAACACTAGCAAAACTATATTACTTTATCTGGAATATTTGAAAATGTTACCATTTGCTGTGAACACACATCTCCAAATAACAAAAGAGAAAACCAAGAGCTATTTTGTAGGCTATATCTTAAAAGTCATAAGATATTCACTTTCATTTTTAAAAACCGCTTTCTGTAGCTAGATGTTTATCATAAGGATCTGCTACTGTGGAAATGCTCCATGCATCTATTAATGAGTGTTTAAAGGTCATGCAGATTGTTGCTTTGATATGGAAAAGTAACTGCCAAAAATACCATATGAGAATGTTAGAGTATAGCTGTGTTACTTAGGTTTTGGTCGCATCAATGTGATGCAGCTTACAATCTGGCTAAACTGATTTTTCATTCGATAATTAACTATCTGATTTCTTCACACAATCAAAGGATTGAAACCACAAATATTCTTTGATGTCAGGGTACCTTTTGAGCCTCTGCAATAGATATCAATAACATATTCCTTAAACACTTTTTTAAAAAATCGAA